AATGATATGATCAACGTTGCCAGACAAAAATATCAACGCGCAAACGTAACGTATGAAGTTGCAGATGCTAACAACTTTGTTGAAAAATTTCCCAAGTGGGAAGGTAGATTTGACAAAGTTGTTTCAGTTCACGCTTTACACTGGGTACAGGATAAAGCTAGTGCAATGCGTAACATCTACAACTGCCTAAAAATCGACGGGGAGTGTTTTCTCTTGTTCTGTGGACCAACACATCAAATGCTAGGCCAAAAACCTGATGAACTTCCCAATTATTTGAAACATCACAGCAATTGGAAGAAACACCTCAAGGTTTGCAAAATGCTTTATTACAATTATAAAATAAGCGTTAACCAACTTAACATAAGTTATTGTTTGTTAAAATTACAAATTTGTTTATTTACTTTATAGGGTTACGTTCACAGAATGTACAATCAGTTTGACCTAGATGACACCAGGAAGTTGTTGGAATCTGTAGGTTTTGAAGTACTTAGTGGAACGTCACATACTCCATGTGAAAATATAGACATCTCCAGTGAAGACGAATTAAAAGGTACGGTAAAGCATTTGATTTGACAGTAACATGTGACATGCCTAAATATGGTCAATAGACACATCATGACTACTGTATTATGGGCATACAATAATGTTTTTATCAAATAAGATTTGACAGAGCTTAGCAAGGCATAGTTTGCTGTACAGTATTAATTTAATTAGTCTTAACTCATTTAAAATATAGGCCTATATTCAAGTTCAAGTTCAAGTTTTATTTCAAAATATCATTATTGTAGCTTTGCAGCTAAATTGCGAATGATACATTAGGAAAAAAAATAGACATGGGTCTATACATTGCACAAAGATTACGAAACAACATTTATATATAAATTCAAAATATAAGAGTAAAAAAGATACACAACAGTAAAAATATATTGATTTAAAAATTTAACATATTAAACTATGATTTAGGTTTAGGACGAACTGATTAATCTGGGCTTAATGTTAATATTGAGGTTCAAGTATTATACCTTACAAGCAGTGGCGGCGTCAGCGGGGGACAGGGGGGAATTTTAATCTCCGTCGGACAGGACGGGAGCCCCCTGTCGGTGGACGAATGACTAGGTTGTCAGATAAAAAATAAAACAAAAATAATTTTCCTATCCAAATAACGTTATTTTGCCTACCAATCCATAATTGTGGTCTAAAAGCACATTTTGGACCATACTAAGCATAAGGCACAAAAACTCTATTCCGGGCCGTCGACAAATTTCCGGTGCTTAGAAATCTAACATTTTACATGATTATTTTTTAAAACCTCCAATATTTTAATGAGAGAAATATTGCGAATTTTCAAAGTAGGTAAAATTATTATTTTTTTTTTCCAGAATACCTGCGTACACTCCTTGGGCACCTAGGATATTTGCCACAGCAGTACCATACAGAGTTTATTCAAGATGCGAGCGACTGGTGTTATAAAAACTTTCCTATCAATCAATTAGGAAATATATACAATAAGGTGACAGTAATTGTCGTTCATGCTGTTAAAAAGCAAATTGCGTCAGACACATAAAAAAAATGAATGGAATTCAAATTATATTGTCACTTGAAAAAAACACAAGGCCTTTCGTGGTTATGACGATTACATTGTAAGGAATGGGCCTGATGGAGGCTGGGCTTTTTTTCTTTCAAAGATATGAATCAATTTATAATAATTATTCATTGAATGTCTACAATGTCAGTCGCTTGAAGCACACAATCAACAGATCCAAGTTCCACATACATTTTTATTTATAAATATTAACAGTGGACAATATTGACAGATGAATTCGCAATCCACCTAGTTAACAATGACATAATACTCTTTACTAAAAACATCTAAGGTTATGATTAAAATATACAAATTGAAATATTTATATACATTTAAAAATGACATAATAATAAAAAT